ATCCACTAGATAAGCTAGAATTTGTAATTTTAATAAGTTTCAAGTTATGACTGCTAAGTAAACAGTTGATTTTTTTCTTCAGTCTAGAATCTGAGTAATAAAAAAATCATTTTCCCCAAAGATCTTAAATATATGCTTAGGTTGTTGAAACACTGGAAGCTCTGCCTTCATTCCGTTATCATTTGTTAGATGACATTTTAATCAGTAAGTGTGATTTTCGGAACCATTCACAAACATTTGCAACTAGTTTTCGAAGTAAAGTGAATAGCTGAGTTAAAAAAAAAAAAAAAGGAGCACAGCGAGTTTGAATTTATTTAAAATAACCAGATTAATTTCTTCAGTCCACAGCCTCAGTAATTCATTTTACTTGAGCAAGTAGTTTTTGAGGACTTTCTTTAATTCCATGTCTCTTCTCTTTATAGGAATGTATTTTCAGTGGTGGGAGAGCCTGGACACATGTGAAACACAATAATGAAGCTAGATTAGGACTGAAGCTTTGAACCAGGGGGTTGGATACCTGGAATACCAAAGGTTTCTCCTTTCTCCCTCTTCCTCCATCATTCCTCTTCTCCTTCTTCCCTTCCTATCCAACCTCCCTCCACAGTTTGTATTCATTATTGGATATCCATAACATGGAGGGCTCAGTGTTAAGCGCTATGTCCGCAATGAAATCAGTGTGGCTTGGGGTTATTTATTCTTCTTGGTATTCTGCATTACTCTGTATTGAGGATCTATCACTTGGATTGCTCAAACTGCATTGTATACAAGTGTATACATGTGGATATGTGCATGTCCATCCTTAAATCATGTTTTAACTAGGGATAAATTTGCTCTAACAACCAATAAAGTTGATTTTTCATATGTTAGGAAAGAATTGGCAGGTATATCTTGGGCCAGCTGGGCTGTCATCTTTGAATGGGACCGAGAGAAAAATCCAGGACTTCTGTGAGTTTTTCTATTAGGCTTAAATGTTAATTCATGTACTAATTCAATTAATATTTATAATTGCCCTTTTCTAATAATTTCATTTGTTCTCCCTTGAAAAATGAATTATGGTGATTTTGCCTATTAAAATGAAATAATGCTAAAAAAAAAAAAAACCAAAGAAACTGTGGTACATCTGCTCCATGGAATAAAGAATGAAACTGTATAATTTGCAACTAGATGGTCCCAACTAGAGACCATCATGCAAAGTCTTGTTCAATATCACTCCTTTTTTTCTTGGGGGGGGGGGGCTGCATCCCATGTATTTTGATTTCAGTTCAATTTCTTCCAAATACTTTCTTTTCTCTTATTGTCAAATTCATCACTAGCTCATGTATTGTAGGGTGGTGCATCTTTTTTCATGGTGCTGTAATTTTGTTGTTGTTACAATTCATACTGGTTGTTGACCTTACTTCATGGCTTCTCACGAAGGGGAATGTGTAGAGATGGAGTAATAGAGACTACCGTATCCAGATGTGGGGGATACAATGCAATATGCATCCCTGCTTCCAAATGAAAGATGGACTCCCAGTGAAACTGTTGAAAATGTATAGACAATGGGATGCTGGACCGTCTGACATTGTCTTTACCAGGTAACTTGGGGCAAACTTACATAAGAGACTGATGGAATCAGGACTTCTTTGAAGCACTATATTATCGTAGCAACTTGGGGAAAGACTGTCGGAGGCTGGGAGTTTGGTGGGGAATCTCTTTATCTGTGAAATTGCATCACACACACACAAAAATTACCAAAAAGAAATGAATATATTTGGGACCTGGCATAGTAGCCCAGTAGCTAAAGTCCTTGCCTTGTATGCTCCAGGATCACATATGGACACTGGTCCATATCCTGGCTGTTCACTTCCCTTCCAGCTCCCTAACTGTGGCCTGCAAAAGCAGAAGAGGGGGGCCCAATGCCTTTTAACCCAGCACCTACATGGGAAACCTGGAAGAAGTTCCTGTCTCCTGGCTTAAGCTCAGCTCAGCTCTGGCTGTTATGGCCACTCAGGGAGTGAACCAATAGATATAGGATCTTTCTCTCCACCTCTCCTTCTCTCTGTAAATCTGATTTTCCACTCAAAATCAATTAGAAGGGCCCGACACAATGGCCTAGTAGTTAAGGTCCTCGCCTTGCACGCCCAGGATCTCATATGGGCGCCTGTTCTAATCCCGGCAGCCCCACTTCCCATCCAGCTCCCTGCTTGTGGCCTGGGAAAGCAGTCGAGGACGGCCCAAAGCCTTAGGACCCTGCACCTGCATGGGAGACCCAGAAGTGGTTCCTGGCTCCTGGCTTAGGATCGGTATAGTACCAGCCGTTGCGGTCACTTGGGGAGTGAATCATCGGATGGAAGATCTTCCTCTCTGTCTCTTCTCCTCTCTGTGCATCTGACTTTCAAATAAAAATAAATAAATCTTTAAAAAAAGCAATTGGAAAATCAGCTTATCGAGTTGTGCCTTAAGAAAGGCAATATAAAACAATCTGTAGTTATCAAGACTTCACTCCATCACACATTACAGAACATTCAGTGTTGATGGCTTTTAGGAATTGCTTTCCCAATATTAAGCCATGACATTGAAAACGTTAAGTGTCATTAGGTGGTAGAGTTTCAGGACAATCTTAATTATCTTAATTTAATTTGTGCATCACTTCTAAATTAATTTTGTATTGCACTATAAGTATGTTTGTCAATTCAATTGCTACCTGGTAGGCATCACTAACAGCCTATCTGCCCATGACCTGAGGCATGGCTTCCACCCATGTGTGCAGAACATGACCTGTGACATGACTGGAGGGTCTAAGGGGATAGACATGCCTTCTACTCAATTACAGTGTCATTGTTGGGTGGGAAGCCTGTCAGGGATTGTGTGGTTGATCTCTGAGGAGACCTGGACCTGAGGTGTGAAAACCACACTGAGAAAGATCAGGACACAGGGGATGCAAATTAGGGAAGCAATGCACAATTTATTGAGCTCAACAGGGTATCTATATATATACTGGGAAGATTACCTAGGCAGCCATGGAAAGCCCCTCTACAATAGCCAACAAAGAAATGAAGTAATAATCACCTTAGCAGCAAACGAGTAAACACGATTTTCAGAGATGGATTCTAACAATCAAACCAATCAGCTGAGGAAGAGGATATCATTAGCTACAAGCAATTAATGAGAAAGCAGGCACGGGCAGGCACTGCTCATTTCCAGCCACGTTTGGCTACCAAGCCAGCAACGGTCGTATGCAAGAGATCTCTCTGCTGCTAGCACTCTCAGTCTGCTGAGAGCATATGAGCTCTGGGATTCTCAGGCACCTGATGAACTGGTTCAGAGGCGCACTTCCACACACTTCTGCCATCTCCTTTCCGAGTCCATATGAGTGGTGCTTGCTTTACAATAAATGGGCGTGCCCTCAAACTGTCCCCATTGGTTTTTGCAGCTGAAGAACACTGGTGCCTCACCCCATGAGCAATCTCAGTGGCATCTGGCAGGAAAAACCCACCGGACTTAAAAGCAATCAAAACAGATTCCCAAATGGACAAAGAACTAAACAGCCCATTTCTACAAAGATCACTAAAAGCTAATTAGCACAAGAAGATTCTCAGCGTATTTATCATTAGGCCAATGAAAATGGCAACCACAATGATACCACTTCATATCCATTGCAATGTCCTTCATTCAAAAATGTTCACAGAGAAATGGAAATTAGGCATTGTGGATCTAAGTGTAAAGTGGTGAAACTAATATTACAAATGGTGCTCAAGGACTGCCTATTGTGTTGACCATCTCACAAACTTTGGAACCAGCACAGGGTATCAGATGGAAGAAGCAGGGAGCACGTCAGTGTTTTCATGGTCTGCCCGATTCCTTTGAACCAAGTCAATATTTGTGGACTGAACTGTGGCCTGGTGGGTTGAGCTTCCCTTAGGGGTGCAGTTCATGTCCTGTGTGTTCCACTTCCAATCCAGTTTCCTGCTTTTGCCCCGGGAAACCAAAGAGGAAGGCTCAAGTCCATGGGCACCTGCACCCATGTGGCAGATCCAGAAGAGGGCTCTGGCTTTGGATTGGCTTAGCTCTTGCCATTGCAGCCAAGTGGAAAAAACTTGTATTTGAAATAAAAATCAAAGAGAATGTGAGGGGGGTCCAGCCCTATGGTTTAGCAAATAAAGCCACTGGCATCCCACATGGACATTGGTTCATATCCTGGATGCTCCACTTCTGACTCAAATCCCTGAAAACAGGCCTGGAAAGTAAGTGGAGGATGGATCAAGCACTTGGGTTCCTGTAATCAAGTAGGAGACCTGGACAACACTCCAGGCTCATGGCTTCAGACTTGCTCACCTCTGTTCATTCTGATTATTTGAGAAGTAAACCAGCACATGGGAGATGTCTCTCCATCTATTCTTTCTTAGTAGACCCATCTTTCAAATTAATAAATCTTAAAAACAAAACAAATGAAAAGAAACCTTGCAATAGCAAAATGGAATGGCATTGTGGCATAGCAGCCTAAGCTACCATCTACATCACTTCCAATCCAGCTCTAAGTCAATGTGAATTGGAAACAGTGGGAGATGACTCAAGCACTTGGGTGGGAGACTCATCTGGGAGACTCAGATGGACCTCCTGGTTCTTCTATGACATGGTCCAGCCCTGACCACTGTGATCACTGGGAGAATCAATCAGCAGAGAGCAGACATGTCTGGCTCTGTCTCTCCTTCTCTTGCTGCAAGTCAGTCTTTAACATAAACAAATAGGATGATCAGTAAACACCATTTCAAACTTGATATCCCACAGTCATTTACAAATTCTTAGTTTCTATTTGATTCATGTAGTAATAACCATGTCTTGGCTATGGCATCAGAAAACCTCAAGAGTTTCAATCAGCTTTGACAGCTCCAATATCTTGGCTACCACAGTTTTGCCTTCTTTCTCTCACACTTGTTTTTTTCATTTTATTTTACAAACCACCATAAAGTTCCTAAAATGAAATGTAAAACAAGGTGAGAAGTAAACAAACAACTTACTGAAGGTGCGTGTGTGTTCTCCAGCCTTGGAAGCATGAAGCACGCCACAGGGCTACACCTGCAAGAGAAGGTGGGCAGAGGGAGTGATGAGTTTTTCTTGCTTGTTCCCGGTCTCCTTGGTGATTCCTACTGCGCTAAGTAATGTCAAGGCAGGGAGCAGACACAATGCCTGGAGAAACGAAAGCAATCAGCTTCCCTGGGCAAGAGTAGTGCTTTACAAGGGCCAGGAAGGCTTCCTAGAAGCAGTATCAGCAATTTCAACAATTGGCAGTGATTAAACTCAAGATATCATTAGGTTAATGCAAGCTATTACTACTACTTATTTTAAATGTTACTGGGCCCAACGCCATAACCTAGTGCTAAAGTCCTCACCTTACATGTATCAGGATCCCAGATGGATGCTGATTCATATCCTGACTGCTACATTTTTATTCCAGCACCCTGCGTGTGTCCTGGGAAAGCAGTTAAGGATTGCAAAATACTTTGGAACCCTGCATCCACATGGGAGACTTAGAAGAAGCTCCTTGTTCCTGCCATGGATTAGCCATCTTCTGGACGTTGGGGCTACTTGGAGGGTGAGCCAGGTGATAAGAGCAAAAGCTCTTCTATTTCTCCTCTCTGTAAATCTGACTTTCCAATGAAAATTAAATAATAACAACAACGATAATGATGTGACTGCCAAGCAATGATTCACTTTTTCTACAAATATTGTTACTATATTATCACTAAAATGTATGCTACAGAGAAAAGATTGGAAGGTATAAAGTATTTCTCTATTTCTACAATGAGTTGCGTAGGACTCCAGGTAAGGACTTCCATTGGAACACTTCTTGCTGTGAATGCTAACATCTGTAGAAGGCAAGCATCTTTTGACCAGCAATTTTGTCTGCACCTATATATGCTAAATGGATATAACACATATTTATATTCTATACAGCTTTCTAGTAATTGTCCCAAATTAATGGTCTGAAAATTTCTTTCTTTGTTTTTTTTTTTTAATTTAATGTTCTCCAAATTTCAATGCCATTTCCCATTTCCTACACTGTCAATGACACTTGACTTTATGATTCTATTTGCCTTAGCCTACAGGATATCCATAAGTATGTTGGCAACATAGTTTGAAAAGGGTTTTTACTGGGGGCCGGACACAATAACCTAGCAGCTCGTCTTAGCCCATGCCATGATCCCTTACAAGCGCTGGTTCATGTCTTAGCTGTTCTACTTCCCATTCAGCTTCCTGCATGTGGCCTGGGAAAGCTGTAGAAGATGGCCCAAAGCCTTGGTATCCTGCACCCACGTGGGAGACCCGGAAGAGGATCCAGACTCCTGGCATGAGCTTAGCACAGTTGCAGCCATTGGTGTCACTTGGGGAGTGAATCAATGGATGGAAGATGTTCCCCTCTGTCTCTCCTCCTCTCTGTATATCTAACTTTCCAATAAAAACAAAATAAATATATATTTTTTTAAAAGTGTTTTTACTGCACCTCATTAAATAGCGACCTTATGACAACAATCGGAGAAAACCATGACTTGGAGGAGTGAATGTCATGATACAGGAGGTAGGGCTGCAGTCAGGGATACATCACATCTGATGCACAAATGCCTGTGTATGTCTACTGGCTATTTATCACTTCCAATGCAGTATCCTGCTGTTTTCTCAGAACACTTGAATAAATTCCAGGAGCCCTGGGGAAACCTAGGTGGATTCCTGTTCCTGGACTAAGCATGGCAGAGACCTGATTCTTGGGAGTGAATCAACCTGCTGAAGGATCATCTCTCTGCTCTATGCAATTTACCTTTAAAACAAATATCACATTTATTTAAAAATAATTACAAAATCTATGCTGTACCTAAAACTACAAAGTTTAGATTGATTTGTGGATATATCTTGGTGAGTAATACAGATAACAGAAGCAAGAATGCAGAATAAGATAAGGACAAGCTTAAACAGACGGAGAAACGTTAGCCATTATGAAGCAGAGAGGACACATTTCAAGAAAAAGGAGAGGACAGAGCAACAGCAGAGGGGTACCTGAAGACTGACAGACATAGGAAAGCAGGAGACAACAGTGTCATATTGCAGTGACCAATAACACAGCAGCGCTCAGAAAGTGGCGATCTGAATTGCACCAGCAGCCAAAATTCCACCAGCAACAAGGTGGTAAGGGAAAAGGAGGCAAAGGCTATGGGACAGGACTGCACATGCACTGAGCTGGGAGTGAACTCATTTCTGGCTGACTGAACTGCAACCACATGGCATCCTACAGGTTCCACCCAAGACAGGTCTGGGTAGCCACCAGACCTGACATCTGGAGATCAAGAACTCTAGCAGTGGTGCATCAGGCGTCATTTTGTACGGTATGGCAAAGGCCTTATGGCTGCAGGGACAACAGTGAGCTGTTCATGCGCTGAGCTCAGAGAGAACTGAAAATAATACCGACTGTGGCATTGTATGGGTCAAAATAGGTGGTGTGGCCCTCAGACCTAACAGCCAACAAGTTCTGCAAGATCAGCATCACCAACAACCTAGCTATACAGATCTCCTGGTCTCTCCCTAATCCTGGGACAGGCTCCAACCAGAAGTGGGAGAAAGGCTATGCAGACAATGGTGCATCTTCACGTGCTATCACAAGAGGTAAAGGCTGGTGAGCCAGGAGTTGGGGCTGCAGAGACCATGGTCGAAATCTAACATAAGAATCCAGACCTGGAAATTACTGGAGGGAGTAGCACAGTGATTGTAAACAAAGAGCTGTGTAACAACTGCAATATACTATCAAACTGTAGACCTGCGGGTGACAGAGCTTAAAAAACTCCCAAGGAGAAGAATCTGATAACCAGAAGTACAATGACCAAGAGCAAATAAGAGACAGAGGCAAAACTAATATTACTGAAGACTCCCCTGCAAAGAAGCAAAACCCTTCGCCAAACTCAGAGTTACCTTGGGAAGACATTAAGAAAGTGGGGGATTCAGAATTCAAAACACCTGTTATAAAGCTTCTTATCAACAATGAGAAGCACATAAAGCAGGCATTCAAGCAATTTAAGGAATACATCACACAGAAAATGAATCAAATGAAAGCTGATAGATCAGAAATAAAGAATAGAGTGGAGCAAATTAAAAGTACAGATGAGAGTCTCCAAAATAGAATGAAAGAAGAATCTCAAAATTAGAAGATGTTTCGTGTCACCAGGGGGAAGCAAACAGCTGGAAGCAGAGCTGGGTCAAGCTAAAAAAAAAAAAAAATGTTGAAGAATTGAAAGACACTATTAAAAGGCCTAACGTAAGAGTTATGGGAGTCCCAGAAGGTGCAGCAAGAGAAGCTGGTTTTACAAATATATTTAGTGAAATAATAAGGGAAAATTTCTCTCATCCAGAGAAAGACTTGGGAAACAAGATCCAGGAGGGGCACAGAACTCCCAACAGGCTTGATCAAAAGCGATCTTCACCAAGACATATGATTATCAAGCTCTCATCAATTGAACATAAGGAAAAGATCCTTAAATGTGCAGGTGAAAAAAATCAGCTGACATATAGAGGAATGCCAATTAAACTCCCAGGAGATCTCTCACAGGAAACTCTATAGGCAAGAAGAGAATGGAGTGACATATTCCAGATTCTAAAAGCAAAAGATCGTCAGCCCAGGATAATGTACCCAGCAAAGCTTTCCTTTGTCTTTGAGAATGAAGGTAAACTTTTTACCAGGTGAAGAAAAGTTGAAAGAATATTCCTCTTCCAAGCCTGCCCTACAAATGATACTTCAAGATGTTCTCTTGCAGAGAAAAGGAATAGCACCCAGCAAAAACAAAGCCAAATGTGAAGAACATCCCAGTACAATAACAACAGAAGACTAACTCATTGCTAAAATGGCAGGACCAAATTAACACCCATTCATATTAATCCTGAATGTAACTGCCTTAAACGGCAATTAAAAACAAACAAACAAACATCTAATTGTTGCCTACAGGAGACACATTTTTCCAACAAAGATCAGCAGAAACTATATCTCGTGGATTTTGTTTTATTCGTTTCATCTCTTCAAAACACTTTTATTTCATTAAATTCTTCACTGACTCATAGACCATACAGTGGCAGCGTTTTCTTCAAGGTGAGTCTTGATTTTCTTTTTCATTCATTCAGCAACACATTGGTCTTTAAGTAGCATCTTATTTAACTTTATGGTGTTGTTGATTTTTATTTTCCTTCCTGTTGTTGGGTTTGTTCTGTGGCTTTTCATTTAAGGGGATGTATAGTAACTGAGTAATGGAGACTATCATATCCAGATGTGAGGATACAATGCAGTATGCATCTCTACTTCCAGATCAAAGATGGACTCCCAATGAAACTGTTCAATATATCTTGACAATAGGATGCTGGGCTCTCTGCCATTGTCCATGCCCGCAATGATGGACATATGACTGTGTATGAAGAATTATACTGTAGTAATGATATGGGGGGACTCAGTGAGGGAGGAGGGAATTGTGGAGAGCATAAGGAACTATATCATAAAATGATAATAATAAAAAGAAGGGAAAAAAAAAACTACAAAGAAGAAGAATAGGGGTCCAGTGCAGTAGCCTAGCAGCTAAAATCTTCGCTTCTCTCATGCCAGGATCCCATATGGGCGCCGGTGGTAATCCCGGCAGCCCCACTTCCCATCCAGCTCCCTGCTTGTGGCCTGGGGAAGCAGTTGAGGAGAGCCCAAACCCTTGTGACCCTGCACCCATGTGGGAGAACTGGAAGAGGCTCCCGGCTTCAGATAGGTTCATTTCTGGCTATTGCACCTAAGATCTTCCTCTCTGCCTTTCTCCTGTCTGTCTGTCTGACTTCCCAATAAAAATTAAAACAATTTTTAAATTTTTATTTATTGCAAAACATTAAAAAAATAAAGTATATACAGACACAGGAAGACATCCTCATGCTGACTGTTGAGTAGGATTGTTATGTCTGGGTTGTGCATTGCTTCATTTCTCAAATTTAAGAGTGTATATTTTGAAAACTATAAATGTTGATTAGCACACATGTTAATTTTTATCATTCTTTCTACTTTATATGTTTTG